TAGTAAACTGCCATGTTTCTACAGTAGCCCAGAACAGAACAACCAAACACTGGCTCTCTCTCAATTTTCGTAGTTTCAGGGTCACCATAGTTTCTCCTACAGGCTTGGAAGGCTAACCTGTATTCAAATGGTTGCAGTTTGCAACTTCGCCACTAGATGCCACTAGATCCTACACAGTGATCCTTTAAATTCCACTTGTATGTCACAGAGGTTGGTCTGCACATTGATCTAATTTTTTTTACTGTTTACAACTGTGATAATTTCTTCCATCTTGGCTTAATCGTCCACTTTGATGAATTGATTAGATTTTGGTGGTCCAATGTCATGACACAAATTGTTATTTCATTTTTCTTGACTGTCCTTTTCTTTTCTGATCAGGCACTCCACAGACAGCCCATGCCCCCTCTGACCACTCCATCTCCAATTCATGAAGACCCACAGCCCAACCCATTGCTCATCTTGCGTGGCTCAGAAGACCGGCCCCAGCCTGGGACAAGCCCTGGCCTTGGAGGGGGTGGACCAAAGAAGGCCCGATCACGGACACGGATTTCCCTTGAGGCCCTGGGAATCCTGCAGAGCTTCATTGGCGATGTTGGGCTCTACCCTGACCAGGAAGCCATCCACACCCTGTCAGCCCAGCTGGATCTACCCAAGCACACCATTGTCAAATTCTTCCAGAACCAGCGCTACAATGTCAAGCACCACAGCCAGGTCAGAGAGACCGTCCCCGGAGAGGATGACCAGGAGAGCTTGAGTCCTAGCGAGGGAGGCATCGGCACAGTGGAGAGCCGAGGGGAGGAGGGTCTCTCTGCATCTGAGGAGTCAAGTGAGGATGGGAGAGGATCAGTGGAGGTGTTCAGAACAGAGGGAGGAGATGGAAGAGAAGAAAGAGATGTGGAGATGGAGAAGGAAGAAGGGGATGATGGGAAAGCCTCAGGGCCAGCTACTTCCTCCCTGTCCCCCTACAGCAGTCTGGACAGCCCCCACTCTGCAGAGCAACAGAGATAACAGCAGAGAAACCATTCGGAGAGAACTGAGGAAAAGATGGAAGCAAAGGACACCATCAAACTGTGAAGAAACACATTTTCATCACCTTTACCAGAGCTGGTGATCAGAGCTCTCTAATATCTGAACAGCTGTGGAAAATATTTAAGTAAGGTTTGACTGAAAAGTGACCCAAAGGTATTAGCACTACCTTCAGATAGGGTATTTTTGGTTTGATACTACCTGTAGACATTATTTGGGATAATTTTTAATAGCACTCAAAGAGAAAACATATCCCCTTAAATTTTCAGTATTTCACCTGGTTGTTCCTGGTAAAAATGGAAATGCATTTCAACCAGCATTAACTCATCACTACACTATGCTTAAACACAACTGAATTCTTTGAGTTGGTTTACCTGTTTTTTATGATACTCCACCTCAAACACTTAAAACCTATGTAGGCTTTAAAAGTGACTGTAAAAACTGTAAAAAGACGGCGGCATAATCCACTTCTTTAACAGTTCTGTCAAGTATTACTAAGTACACAGCAAGTATTAGCTGTAAAGTTGTGAAGTATTTTGACAAATGGATACTGATTATTTATGGATAGGAGGAGTGGATTATGCTGGTTTGAGTTTAGATAAAAATAGTTTCCACCATAACAATCTTCAGCCACCTTGTTTATTTATGTATGTTTTTGTTTATTATGTTTACAGGTAAAGTGCTTGATTAAAAAAAATTAGTTTGGAGGTTTTCTTTAAGGTCGGGTAAGGCAGGTTTCAGATGAACAAAACTGGAATTGACCCCAAGTCCCGCCCTATTTGCTCTGTGCTCCTACAGTAAAGCAAGCCTCAGTCAGAACCTTAGCTAGCTACTTAATCTACATCCATTATTAGCTAGCTAGTTACATCTGAAATTTGTGGCAAAATGTTACAAAATACTAGCTAACTATCTAGCTAATTTACATCAATCATTAGTTAGTAATAATAAGTTAATAATAGACTCATAGAACTATTAATAGATTATTAAAACCATCTATTAATAGTTAACATTAGTATTAGTTAGTACTATATTTGTGTGTTTTCCAACTCGTTCATGTCACGTTATTTGACACACGTTACTGTCACTGAATGTCTCATACAGACGTTGTCAATGTTAAATAGCGAGGAAAAGCCACCCTTTTAAGTCCCGCCCCTTTGAGTTAAACTAGTAAAATCTGAAAGCTAATGTTAGGAAAACAGTAGCTAACTAGCGAGCTAATCTGCATCAATCATTAGCTTGCTAGCTGAATCTGAAACACAGCGTAAAGGAGAAAGTTTACCGAGGTTCTGACCGAGGCTGGCTCAACTCTTATTGGACCACAGAGCAAAAAGGGGCGGGACTTAGGAGGTCAGTTGCAGTCTACCCACATACAGCATAACAGTTTGGAGTCTACTGGCAACCTTACAAAACTCGACTCACTAAAGCTTCTGAACAAACTCCTCCCAACCACACAGTTCTAATCTTTCTGGTCAGATATTAATATTAAGTCCAAGCACATTGGTACGCTGCAGCCAGATAGGATCTTCTGTCTGAGCAGAGGTTAAAACACTTAGCTCATATCGGTCTTCTTGGACCAAGAATAAACTGTACTGACATAGGGCAGTAGTACCTCACGAGAAGGGCATTCACCTGGGAAATACACACAGGCCAATAACACTAGCACCTCCACCCAGACTCAAAATCTTTTTTTTCTTTTTAAATAATATAACTTCAACTAAGTTCTCTGTGAAACCCAGGCCTTGACTGACAGTAAATTAGTTTCACACTACACTCCCATTAATATTTATTACTAACTTTATATTTACTAAAATCTAGAGTATTGTTGTAATTACACGATTGGTATTATTTTCTTTGATATGACTACAAAGGTTTTTGTAAATGTGACAGGAAAATGGACGAGCAAGCGTGAAGAAGTTTGAACTCTGTTACACAGATTATGTTTTAAAAGTATGATCCTTTATTTACTATTTCTAAACCAGACTGGAAGGGAAACTGTTTTCTAGTGGACATTTATGTACATTATGATGTAAATGTTGACAATTCACCTGCAACAACGGAATCTGTCATATGTGGGAGGCAACCACTGTCACTTAACACTGTTTGTGTAATTTGTGCCACTAAGGAACAGGGTATGAAAACACATTATTTGCATTTACGGTCTGTTTCGTCTCTGTCCTGGATGGAGCACAAAAAATTTCTGATTTGTTCCACTTTTGATGTTTAATCATTGTTCTGATTCTGTTGTGGGCAGGACATGCAATTCTTATAAAAGTTTTCTAAAAGTGTTCTGTGTGAGAGTTTGCCCTCTTTACCTTTTGACTACCTTTGTTAGCTGGTCCCAGCAGGTAGAACATTCCAAAAAATTGCATACTATGTCCTTTCTTAAACATTCCTTATTATGTTTTTCCACAGAGGTCAAGGAAACATGTGAAGGAAAACTCATAAGGACTTATGGATGAGGAATAGACAACCGTGGGGCTGAGAAAATCCTACTGCAATTACACTAGGCTTTTTTTTTTTTTAACTTCATTTATAACACATGGAAGATCAAGTAAGGTTCCCTGACCAAAACAGAATCACACCTCCAGAGAAAATGTTTTCAGTTTATACAAAGAGTACATTTAACCATCAGTTACTCATAGGAAGTAACAACAACAACAAGGATATTGTTGTAAATAAAAACAAACTGGATTGAAATATAGAAATTAAAAATTAGATAGATATAGAGTATAAAAAATACTTTTGTTGTGCATTCCACACTGTGTAGTATTTTGTTATAATCTCGTTAACTAGAAAGTCATGTTGTTGCATGGGTTTGCCGCGGTGAAACTACAATGGCACAGTGCTGTAAATGTTGCTGGCACAAGGAATTGTGGGACTGTGAAGGATGGTCCAGTGTATCTTATGCTAAAGGAGATAAGAAAGGAAGTACTAAACCGCCTTTCATGCATTTAGAGAATAAGAACAGCTCTTATCTTCGATGCCACAGAAATACTTCAGGCCATTTCACTCAGTTTGGAACATTTCTAACAAAAGAAGACTATTTGTTGGCTGACTGGAAAGGGTCTGCTACACTAAATGGAACGGAACCTTAATTCTTATCAATGGTAACACTGGAGTTTACCCTACTATTTCATGAGAAAATGGTCTCCAGGAGCCAAATCTAGAAAAAAAATCATCATGTTGAATTATTTTGACTTACATAAATTGACTTATGAGTGACTTGCAAACATAGAGTGCACCTGGCATTTCCTTTATTCAAGGCTGTCTGAATTCTGTTTATTCACTTAAATTCATCAGCTGATGGTTGAAATTCAAGGCATGCCCCAAAGTACAATACAGTACAAACACATTCATGAAGTACTGTCATGCTTGAAAATACACAGATATAAGAGAAAAGCGATGATATCATGTAAAAGTAGGCAAGAAAATAGCTGCCATTCCACTCCCTCACATACCTCGACCCCAACCACAAACTTTATAAGAACAGATGTCAAATGCAAATACAAAGAGCGCTGTCCGTACCAGCTGAACCACAGACACATGAATGTAAAAACAGCAGCTTTAAAATGCAAAATACAAAGTATATAATGCAATTAGATGGGTGGGTTACACATATTGTAACTCCTAAGCACTGGATGAGATAAAAACAGCTTAAAGAAACACTGGCTGGCTGTAAGAGAAGCAGCCGGGTGAAGCTGGATAGGCTTCCGCAGGGTCTTAAGAAGTCTAAAAAAGTCTAAAATCCAATCATCTGAATTTTATTTCATTTTTCCCTATCGCAGCCTATTATTATCAGGCTGAAATAACACAAATGATACGATAACCATATACATATCACATGATGCTGCTGTGTTCTCTTATTCACTCTGGGAATCATTGTAAACAGATTAATTTACGAGTTGTGCTAACTCTGTGCAGCTTCATGTCTACTTTACTTGCCAGAGCACCTGCTAACAATTTGAAACAATTTAGCAACTGCCAACAGATGCTAACAAATGTGCCTCTCCTTGTCCTTATCTCCATCTGTCAACCTCTGTTAAACTGTTTGGCTTCAAGAGAATTCTTGCTGATTTGCACTTGCGCTAAAGGTCCAGCGCTGTGGGTGTGTTTTTTAGTCAACTTCTTTCTAGTGATGTAGTGTGTTACCAAATCTCAGCAATTAACTTGGATAGTACAATAGTATTATTATGATAAAACTGAAGGCCCAAACAGTTGTCATGAACCAGAACTTCCATAATATATGACATTCTGGGAAACCAACTTCTCCCAAAACATGTGTGACTGTAATAGACAGGATGAGCCAACCTGGGGAGCATATAAAAATTGATGTTTGAAGATGTTTTTTGGAGAGTTGACCTTTCCTAAGCCCCACCCCTTTTTGCTCTCTGCTCCAATAACAGTTGAGCAAGGCGCGGTCAGAACCTCAGTCAACTTCCTCTTTCACTATACTTGAAAATGTTGTGTGCTAGGCTTATCTCTGTTTAAAAAAAGTTTCAACATAGACCACCAACCATTAGATCATTTTCAGTAGAGTAGAAACCAGGATGAGAAGCAGTTGTCTTTGTTATGGAAAGTCACTGAAAAGTAACAGTTGCACATGGAGATGCTGGAGGCTACCCCTGACACAGACTCTTCACCTTTAGAAGACAAATTAGCCCCGTGTCACTAAAACTAAGAGACTCACAGCTCAAGCACACACTGTCCCTCAGTGTGTGTGTTTTCTCTGAGTTCATCATAGTTAACTCACATCTAATATTACAACTGCATCAGTGAGTGTTGGTACGCTCCACTGGATTTCTGCTCACACAGCTGGCTATTAGAGACGTATGGCAGGCTGATACGGGGCCATTAGAGGTGTGTGTGCATGTGTGTGTGTGTGTGTGTGTGTTGTGTGATAGGGACGCAGGTGCTCAGTGGGCTGATATTACCCAGGATGCTCAGGGTGGGGGCATAAGGGTTACGGGGGGAAGGAGGCTCTCTGTGGAGCTCGCAAACACACCTGTGATCCCCTGCTAGCACGCTCACACATGCACACACACTCTGTTCCCCCAACCCTTGCACTGCAGCACGTTAATACACACTCTGATAAACAGGCTAATACTCACAGCGGCAGCACTTTACACGCCATTGAATACAACACACAGTAATCAGCGAAGCCAACACGTGGCACTGTGTGTGTGATGTTTTGGAGACTTGTGTGTGTGTGTGTGTGTGTGGGTGGGTGCATGTGCAATGCAATACCGTATGCAGTGAAAAAGCATTGCAACCTCAGGCAAACCTAAGCATTTTTAGTATCAAAAAGATGAGAAAAACTAAAGAAAATTTCATAATTTTACGGTTCAGATTTTGTTTTTGTAGTTTTGGCCAACATTTTACTTCATTGCTGATATCTGGGGATGTGACAGTTCTTTTGGACACAACAGAGTGCACAGGACAACCACACAAGCCATCTGACAAAGTCTTAACAATTTAACCCGCATTTTCTAAAGCACTGATTTAGAAGATTTAGATGAAAGGGGAATTGTAAATTTGTTATTACCACATACTTTGTAAGCATCACTGTACAAACTCTGAAGTGGTTTAGGTTAAACTCAAGCAAACTGATTGTTTTGACTTGTAAAACTTGTTGCTCCTTTGTTGACCTTTGTCCACAAAAAAATGCAATCCAAAAGTACATCAGTTTCATCAACTGTTTCAAGTGCTTGCACTAGATGAGTTTTCAGTGTGCAATGAAAGGTGTGTAGAGTTTCTGCTGTTTTGATGTCTATGGTGAGCTCGTTCACACCATTGTGGGTCCAGGACAACAGTTAACAGTTGTTGGGCGCCCCTCATAGTGAGGGAATAACAAGCCGATTGGCAGCAGCAGAGAACAGAAAATTAAAATTACCACATTCATTT